ATCACCTCTCCCCAATACTTCTTAGGTCGTCATTTACCTCTTCTCGTTCCCTCCACAACCAGCCGCTCACACCTCCTTACCGAAGCATCTAGGCTCCTCCTCTGAACATGCTCGAACCATCTGAGCCTCGCTTCCCGCATCTTGTCATCAATGGGAGCTACGTGTACCTTCTCCCGAATATCATCATTCCTAATCTTATCCATCCTAGTGTGCCCGCACATCCACATCAACATCCTCATTTCTTCTACTTTCATCTTTTGGATATGTGAGTTCTTAACAAGCCAACACTCAGCCTCATACATCATAGCTGGTCTAACCACCGCTTTATAGAACTTACCTTTGAGTATCAGTGGCACTCTCTTGTCACATGGGACTCCAGATGCTAAACTCCACTTTATCCATCCTACCCCAATACGGTGCGTGACATCCTCGTCGATCTTCCCTCCCCCCTAGATAATCGAACAAAGGTACTTGAAGCTGCCTCTACTTGGGATGACCTGTGATTCAAGCCTCACATCCACGCCCACTTCCCCAGGCTCAGAGCTGAACTTACACTCCAGGTATTCCGTCTTCGTCTTGCTCAGCTTGAAACCCTTAGACTCAAGAGCCTGTCTCCAAACTTCCAGCCTCTCGTTAACACCGGCTCGCGACTCATCAATCAGAACTATGTCATCGGCGAATAGCATGCACCATGGCACCTCCCTTTGAATATGGTTTGTTAACACATCCATCACCAGGGCGAATAAGAACGGACTGAGCGCAGAACCTTGGTGTAACCCCATTTTAACTGGAAAATGCTCAGAGTCACTTCCTACTGTCCTAACCTGAGTCTTAGCCCCATCATACATGTCCTTAATCGCCATAATGTAGGGAATCGACACACCTTTTACCTCCAAACATCTCCAGAGAACTTCTCTAGGAACCTTGTCATACGCTTTCTCTAGGTCAATAAACACCATGTGCATATCCTTCTTCCTCTCTCTGTACAGTTCCACCAACCTCCTAACAAGGTGTATACCTTATGTAGTAGAACGACTCGGCATGAACCCGAACTGGTTGTCGGATACAGACATTGTCATCCTCACCCTCGCTTCAACCACCCTCTCCCACATTTTCATAGTATGACTCAGTAGTTTGATACCCCTATAATTATTACAACTTTGGATATCACCTTTGTTCTTATACAATGGAAATATGTTTAGTATGTTTAGGTGTTATTTCTTTAGATTATTATAGTTTTTAAATTGAACTTATCAGCCAAGTTATTTTGCTTTAGCTTATGTTTTCACATCTTATTCCTACGATTAAAATCAACTATACGTGTAAATTACTTATCGACCAAACTATTTTCCAAAGATTTATTTAAGGGGATTCATATAAATAGTTATTTATTATATATATGAATAATAGTTATGCTTCTATATGCAGATAGTTTATCCTTCTATTGGAATATTGAAGAGATGCACGAAATTGAGCTATTCTTGGTATCGAAATTGACAAAGAAGTGATAAAATAGAGAACATAACCAATATGACGAGAAGAGAAGACGAAGACAAAGTATACCCTCATTCGATAACAATTAATAAAATAATTAAACTAGAAAAGAATTAGAGATTTATTGCTATTATGTCGTCATTTGAAGATATTTTTGACTGTCCCTCGTATGTTAGCATTTGTAATTTTTTCCTAACCAGATTTTAGTCTAATTTTATAAATATGCAACGTGTGCTAGCATAACAGTTAATCCTATCGAGCATAGGTAAGAGTGTTGAAAAATACGATTTACCTAAATTTAATCAGGGTCCAAATGATAATGTGGCCTCATAATGGAGAAAGATTATTGGAGAAAAGGCTACATAATTGTCTGAATAAAATTTAAATGTACAATTAAAGATAAATCCATAACAAAAGCAACCTTTCAAGACTACATTGCAAAGAATCGATTCTGATAGAGCGGGCTTCTTCTTTGTAGATAACGGCGAAGGAACCGAAAAATTATTCCTATATTGTGCATTACTTGCAAATGTCAGATCTGTAGACATGATATTATTAGCAACAACAACAAGTAATTTAGCAATAATAATTTTACCACGGAATCGTACAACTCGCTCTAGATTCGATATGTCTCTTCAACAAGTGTAATGATCATCACAAATATGTTGAAACGGAGTGATGGTGGTACTAAATTGATTAAAAAAAATCGAAGTGGATAATATGGGATGAGCACTAATAGCAAGGCACCAGACAATCAAAACAGTTGACCTGAGTTTCAGAGATATAATGGATGTTGGTGAATCATTTGATGGAAAAGTAATAATTTTTTGAGGTGATTTCGGTCAAGTACTACCAATATTTGTAACATCGACGAGAGCTAAGATAGTAAATCCGAACTTGGTAAAATTATTATTTATGGCCTAAAATAGAAAAGATTCAGCTAACAAGAAATATGCGAGCTAGGACATATCCAACATTAGTGATTTCTTTTGTGTTGAAACGGAGAAGAGTATAGAATAAAAGATGATTCGATCCTTCTTCCAAAACACTTGGTTATCAAGCCCAATTGTTATGTAAGTGGTGAACAACACTTAATAAGAAAAATATTTTTATTTAAATAAAAAAAGAAGCCGTGCAAAGTACATGACAAGAAGAACTATCTTAGCTAGAAGAAATGAATATTTTGATGAACTAAATAAGATGTTGATTTTCACTTTCCTTGGTGAATGCAAATTATCTTTTTTTGTTGTATATCGGCAAAAGATGATATCAACAACTACTACCAGAAAGAATATTGTATAATATCAAATGGCCTTCCACTACACAGATTCATTATCAAGTTTATTATCTCTTATGTATATTAGTATCATGTATGTATGAAACAGACACCAAAAATATTTTTTCACCAATAGTCAAATTTGTAATGGGTTAGGTTCTAACTCTCTAAATGCTTAAAGAGTTCCTATTCAATTAGGAATCATTGCAGATTTAATTTGTATAGATTTCACCACATTCCTTCTTCCTCTTCCACTCAGCCATAGTTCGTATATCTTTGAAAGCTAACCGTCAAAACACATACTTTGGGAAGTTTTTAATTCTTTTTGACAGCTAAATTCATTTATTTTCTTTTACATGGTTTTGGTTCTCTTTGAGTCTTCTAATTAGGTTTTTTTTTTTTTTTTTAAAAAAAAAAATGGTTGTTGCTTTAACTAGACAGTTGAAGATAATCTTAATTTAAAATGGGAGTGATCTTGCATCGCATACAAGATAATTTTAAAGAAAACGCACTCATAATGATACTAAGAAACTTAAATCATCAAACGAATTATGTAATGGTACAAAGAATGGTATGTAGAGATTTTAATAATAACATCATATATGTAGTAATCATGATAGGTCAATATACTTCCAAGCATATATTTATCCCCTGAATTTAACTTTTGCCTCTAGAAAATGAAAGATATCCTTTTAAATTTAACTGAAAATAATTTTCAGTATGCTTGAATTTTGCAGAAGGGGAGGCTTGGAGCAATAGTAAAGCGGTCTCTGTATGACCTATAGGTCATGGATTCAGACCGTGAAAGCAGCCATTAATAATTGCATTAGGTTGGTTATCTACATCACACCCCTTGGGTATGTCCCTTCTCTAGACCATGCGTGAATGAAGGATGCTTTGTATAGCGAGCTACCCTTTTTATGATTATGTCTTGTAATGACAATAATAAAGGACAAGGGCAAACAATCCAAATATTGGATTGTATTTGGTGCAATATATTTTCTCGCACGGATAATTATATGGTGCACTTTTAAGAGGAATATCTATGCCGACGACAAAAGTTATGGTCATGATGGAGCACCCAAACTGTTAGAAGGAAACATACACAGACAATAACATTTACAGAGAAATTTTGGTAAAATATCACCACATTGCATATTTCTAAATTATAAGTAGATAGTCATATTATCTAACTAACATGATTAAATCAATCATTTTTGCAGGTTCAAAGAATGATGTCCAATCACTTTGAATTTACGTATTATATTACGTACTATTATTAACGTGCAACGCATGTTCGTAGAAACTAGTTCCTTAAATATACATGTGTCGACTCAAGCTCAAAGAGTCCTATAGTGCAATAATTATCGAATGCACTTTTACAAGTGAAGTTAGAGCTCAAATCTTAGCTTGTAGGCATATCTAGTATCCTCTCCTGTGTTTTACTTAAGTATTCTTTTTTCATTTGGTTTATTCATTCAAATTCCACAAATCTAACAAATTAAAATCCTTGATCTACCTTTGTCATTATAAGATTTTATATAATTAAAACTAATATCAGTGGATGATGTGGCATAATTCAATGATTCCAGAATTTTTTTATATGGAGTATAGGTATATATGTTAAAAATCACTAAAACTGCAAGAAAAATAATAATTCTAACCTATAATTTTTAATTGGTAATGGATTCATGGTAAAAGTCTAAAAGTTAAACCCATCAAATATAAATTCTAGATTCATCACTTTGAAATAGTGCACCCATCTTCTTAGAATCTCGGATCCGCGTCTAGTCAATCATAATCTTTTCATTAATGATAAATATGTTATAATAATTAGAACAAAAAACGTAGGCGTAATATGTAGATCGGAAGTCAAACATAGGAAGAGGTGCATATGGTTCGGAGCGAAACGGGTAATAAAAAATGAATAAATTATTCAACCAGATCCGACTCATATTTAATACGGATAAAAAACGAGTTAACCGGCGGATAATTTGCATGTGATCACTTTTGGGAGAATTCTTATCTAACTTGAGCAACCAAAAATTTGAAGCTTTACAGATGTAAAAGTTAGACCCATTGGTTATTTATTTTCTAAATGGATAATATGATTCTTATTTATATTTGACCCATTTTTAAAAAATTCATTATCCAATTTATTTTTTAATGGATAATTCATTTTTTTAATGGATAATATAATATGGATGATTCTTTTAGTGGAATTAGAAGATGAGTATTTCGAGTCATATGAATATTTAACTTTTTTTTAACCCCTCTCATAACCCAGAACAGACCGATTTTAATCGCTGGAATACATTGACACCTCTTAACTTATTAATAAAAATTGTTTAGACGCCTCAACTAGGACCATGACCTATCTACCGCTGGATTGAAGTTTGCAGCATAGCAGAGTTGTGGAGTTAGTATGCAGATTGGTTAAAACAGGGCAAAATGGCAAAATGCTCAAACACTTGAGAAAAGAGGTATGTGAAGTGTTTCTGTTACAACAGTCAATATTATTTTATTAAAAACGTACTGTAATACCACATGCCCTTGAAATTAGGTAAGTGTTTAACTCAACTAAATGTTGGTAGGGAAATTAGAATAGGTTTGTCAAAAATTATGAGTAAGAAATTGGATTGGATCATTCATCTCAAGTTTCCCTGGGGAATCATAATTTACCTGCATGCTGTGGAAACAATTTATTATTAATTGAAAACCATAGAATTCTGTATTCATTTTGTCCTCAATCTATACTTCTTAGTTTACAGTTTCTTTCCTTCTTGCTCCAAGAAGGGGATCTTATCACGACGTCTAACATCTTGTTTGGATGGTTGTTACTCATTGTATCGTATTGTATTGTTATCCCAAAACAATGTTTGTTTTGATTGTTTCATTAAAATTGGTTGTATTGTATTGTTAAATCCATTGTTCCGGAACAATGAAAAGTCCAATTTTTTAAACAACCGATTTGGTGTGGTGGGAGTGTTTCCTATTTTTCTTTCCAATTATACTATAACTTATTACTTCATAATTCTTTTTTATCCTTTTTTATTTTAACTCCAAATCTCCCACCTATAACCTACTTTGTCTTCATCCCTTTTTTTGCCCGAACTGCTGCTTCCAACTCCAATGTAAAATTGCTAAATTTCGTTAGAATTTGCATGAATTTAATTGCTTAATCTATTTATAAGACATATTTGGTGATAAATTAGTAGAAAGGGATTTTCTTAAATTATTTTATGCGTAATTCTTGATAAATTTTTATATTTAAACAATTGAGGGTATTTTAGTAAACTTGTCCGTTACAGTACAGTACGATACAGTCAAACCAAACAGCAAAATGTCATTTAACAATAGCTAACAATACAATCCATCCAAACGTTGTATTCATAAAACGATACAATACAATACAATACAATACAACACAACACAATACAAGACATTATAAACGATGGGTAACAACCATCCAAACAAGCTGTAAGAGTTGGCGCTGTGTGAAAAGTCATGTGTTCTAGCCGTGCAAAGTGCAAACAACGTCTTGTAGATATGCAAAGTAAGGTTGTGAACAATAGACCCAATGTGTTCGGCCCTCTCGCTACACATAGTGGGAGGTGAGTGCACCCGGCTGCCCTTATTTTTATATATCTTATTTCAAAATTTCTTCACTGATCATGGGTTGTTTGGACATATAACCTTTTTTTGTTAATTCAGATGCTATGTTCTAGCATCACTCTGGTGTGTTTGTGTGGCTCTTTCTCTAGGTTGGTATAAGTGTTTGTGTTTCTAGCTTGTAAAGTGTAAAATCAAAAGATGATAATAGGGGATTCTTAGTACTCCAATTGGTTAGCTACTTGAATTTTCACCTTGTTGGTGAGATCCCACCTTGCAATACCCTCCCCCATTTCCCCTTTCCCTCCCGCTATGTACAATGAATAAATTCCAAAAAGAAAATGATAACAATAACTATATGAGAGTTGTAACATTACCGAGAAATGGTGGGTTTCTCAGTGATGAATCTTTTGACTCACTCTTCATTTCAGTTCAAGGTTTGGGTCTTATGTGGACAACATATACTGAAGAAGATGAGTGAGTCTAAGAATTGGTTTTTTAGTAGAAATCATGATCTAAGGAAGCAAGAATCAATGAGCGATTTTTTCAAACATGTAAACTTAAGAAAATAGCTGTACAAAAATTTATTGTCACTGGTTGTTCAACTTGTGTGATTTCAGATTCAGCGATCCATTTATGTCATGTGACTTCAGATTGAGATGCTATTGGGAATTCCCTTTCCAGTAAGTCCAGTAGTACTCTTGTCACCAGACGCGTTTGGGTAGAGTAACGTATAAGGCATCTGTATAGGTCCTTTTCGGTTCTTCAATGTATTGTCATTGTTCCTATCCATTATTCTGTTCTCGATTTCTACCAGTTTGTCACGGAATCCCTCAAATGCATGTCGTGGTTGACTGTCAGAAGTCCATTCAGGAGTATCTCTTTGTCCAAGATAAATCTCATCTGAAGAATGCATGGATAACATCTCTATCAAAGAGATGCCAAGAAGAGTTTGGAACTGGGCTGTGATGGTCTTTAGGTAGGCTCGCTCATGGTTTGACTCAAGCTCAACATACTCAGGAGTGCCTGGCATTGGCATAAAGCGCCGGCTAACGGTTGGGCGATTTGGGAGATAGCCAGCATAAGGATACTGCCCAAAATTAACTGCTGCATGAAGAGCAGAAGCCACCCATATGATTATGGTGCATGTTTGGACAAGCTCAGCTCTTGTCTGCATCTGAGGCCACCATGGTTCATCTTTCAAGTCACCATGACCCACGTTGCGAACTTCTGTCCACCATGATTGAAGTTCAGAATCACCTTGGATCATGTCATCCGCTAAGTAATAGAATAAGCAATACTCGTCCACCCAGGTTTCAATTGCTGACCAAATCTCAAGTCCATCAACGGCGTAAGGATAATCCTCTATCAGAAGTCTAAGACCATGAGGCTGGCTTGGATCTGGTACTGCAACTCCTCTGAAATTAAAAATAATTGAGAATATTACATGGACAAGATGGATATGACATTGAATTTTAAGCTGTAACAACTAGTGGCCTACCTCTTAAGTAGATCTGCAGGGAGTGCCTGCTCAGTGAAAACCCAATTCTTATAGATGGAAGAAGACATTTCCATGGCATATTTGGATGGAAATACTGTCAACTCAAGTACTCCACCTGCATTAATGAGGATCTGACGAGCCAAAGCATTGATGTTCATTGTATCGCGGAAGTGAGGATGTAGAAGTTTATAGATTGGATGAACCACACTCAATTGTCTGTTTGCTGCTATAATAAATGGCTCTAATGCCGCATGGGTGTTCAACCTGCAAAGTAGAACGTAACAAGATTAATATAGCGAGGTGACCTGCTTCTATAGTTTCCACCTTTTCATCTGCTTTGTTAAGTAGCTCACCAGTGACTGACGAGCTGATGATATCCAGAATCATTTACAGCAACATAGGCTTTAGCCAGATGCCAGACATAGCCTTCAGCACTCTCATCATTACATGGGGTAAATACTTGACTGCTGGAACCATGTTTATCTCCTTGTGGGTGTGGTAAGCTCAGTTCGATTGCAAGTGGCTTCAATGTTCCATCATCTTGGAGTAAAAGGATGGTGCGACTAGCATAGATCTTATTGGATGTTGAGTTAATCCGATTAAGATAAGGCATAAGTGCGTCATGATAATCTAAGATGAATAGCCTGTTATACTTAATTGCCTGTGACCAAAAAAGATAAAATTGTAAAATATATAGAATCTAAAATGGAGACAGATGATTAGTTTCCATATACAAAGGACGCCTTGGTTTTATCTTCCTTTCTTTATGATAAATCACCAGAAAAAAAGAAAGAATGAGTATTACATCATCCACAGTTAGTCCATCCATGTATTTCTCAATCTGTTCCCTTGTGATTTTACTGGTTTGGTCGCCATATACTTCAGGATTTAGCTTGCTTGTGGGTGGAAATTCCTGATAGGCATTTAGTCTTTTAGTAATTTGCATTCAAAGATTACAAACACATAGAAAAGATAAAAAATCTGTAATTGATAGTACCTGTAGACGCTGGATAATCACAGGGTTGACTCCGGCTAGCATTTCACGTCCAAACTCTTCATCTGTGCTCCATGCAGAGTTATCTTCTGTAGTTTTTTTTTTGGAAAGGGTTCACAATTAATTTACTTTTTCACCTTAGGAAGTACTCAGAGGCTAAAGTAGTTGTGGAGCCAGAGAAAGAGAATAGATAAGCACCTTTTATCACATGAGGAATTGGAAATTTATGAAGTTGTCCTTTAAGCATTTCCCATGGCATGCTTTCCGTGGAGTCATCAGGAACTCGACCTTTATAGACTTTTTGTACATGTTTGAAGCTGCTGAACTCATTAAAAGGTTTGGCTAACAGAGATGCAAGCTGTGGAATTATGACACGACCTATTGATTTGGCACTATATCCAAGGAAATCCATAAATTTCACATGGTTGAAACGTTCATCTCGTGGAACATAAATGTTCAAACTCAGAAGTGGAAGCCGGCTCTCTAAGCTAGAATCTGTAACAGAAAACTTAACTCTTTCAACATGTTCTGTTAGTGGTTCTAAGACAACACCTGTAAATAAGATGACATTAATGTGTTTGCAGCCTAACCTCTTTTAGTCAGTGGACGGCCTGTTCTTCCCCTTCGGGGGTATGGATAATCCTTGCCCCCACCAATCACTGGTCGATCATGTCCTAAATCATTGTAGACTGCATAGTCGTAAACCCTGTCCCATTCCTCGAGTTTGCCAGAACCTGTACCCTGAAGATTAATGAGCTCCTCATTCCTGTATGGCCGAAGGGGTTCTGGTGTGTTGCATGCCAGGTATGTCTGATAGCACCAAACATTAGAGGTTTAGTATCTATCATCATCCAAAAATTTGAATTAACTCCTGTACGTACTGGCTTGGTTAAGTTTTAGTATGTCATTGTAGGTATAAATGTGAGATTAGAGACTTCTAGTTTCAGAGAACTCCAACTAGTTATTGAGGAATAGTTGATTGATTGATATACGTCTGATTGTCATCTATATAAAATCTCTGAGTTTACATAGCCTTCTATCCTATTATGCTTAAGGACTGTCATCTTAATCCTGTAATTCAGGATGTTCGGATTTTCTGCAGTAGGCTTTGAACTATTTGGAAGAGGAACACATCTTATTTAAACTTGAAAATATATAACTTTTTTTGTGTATCTGGAAATCATACAGTTAGGTTTAGCCTATCAGTTTTTTTTTTTTTGGCCTAGAAAAATTGAACGGCATTTCAACCTTACGTGTTCCCGTTGAGTGATTATAATGTTTTGCAGGCATCATATAGATCCCTGGAGTAAGGTTAAGAAATATGGATACCTTGTTGCTAAAAAACACCCGATCGTACTTGTAGCGATGTGCTGGATACACCCAAGAATTGCAGATGAAATGAACTTCACCATGTCCAGGAATATCTTCTAAAGCGACGGTCTTCAGGTAAAACTGGCTATGATGAAAGTTCTTTATAATGAAAGCACCAGGAAGACCTATTGAGTCATCCCACTCAAATGTAATATTGAATGTAGCTTCTTCCACTGATATCCAAGTCTTGCTGGATGTCCAGTCCAAGATTGCTGGTTTTCCCACCTTCCCTTTTGATCCATTTCCTTTAAGAATGAAGGAAAAAATTGTGCTTCAGCGTTACTCTACAGAATAACATAGCATTAAGGCTTCCAAATTAATACGACTTGATTTCAAACATACAAACGGCTGCAGAGAAGGAACTATCAAAGGTTTTCTTGTGGTATTTTTGCTTCTAAATGGGAGGAAACCGGGGAAATAAAACCTTTAGATTTATTCTCCTGCATGTTTTCGCAAAATTTGTTGGTGAAAATGGAATACCAGGCATTCAGAATTAAGGTACTAGAGGTTCGGGAGTTAAAAATTTGAAACTCCAGAATAAGAGTTTGTTACTAAAATGGCACCGGAGGTTTAATGATTTTTTTAACAATAAACTATGCAATAAAGGTATAACCGTTAAATATGGTAAGAATGAGGAGTGGTGCACCAACTGTGTTGGGCTTAAAGTTGGCAACAGAAGGAGCATCTTTATGCAATCATCTCTAACAAAAAACTTAATGTGATTAATACTCCACAGGGAGATGAAAATTCCATTCAAAAGAAGGAACTTGCATAACCGGGAGATTGATTGCATAAATGAGTTAATTCAAATGCTGGAACCTGTCTTTCTTGATGATCAGGTGGCTTATTCGTTGTTGTCAAAGGTTGAATGATGGTAAATTTACTGTCAAGGCATGTTATAAAAGCTTCTTTAGGAAAATGGGTGGAGTCCATGACTGTCGGCCATGGAAGTTAATCTGGAAAAGTATTGTACCCTCTAGAGCTGCTTCCTTCACTTGGATTGTCACTCATGAAGCTTTTTTAAACCATGACAATCTACAGAAAAGGGATCTCACTATGTACAATAGATGCTTTCTATGTGAAGAGGCTAATGAATCAGCGAATCATCGTCTACTGCTGGAATGCAGTTCTTACTTGCATATTCTGAATACTTGACTAGAGAGAAAACAATAGATGTTTTAATGATAAGAGTGATAACATTGCAAATGTAAAATCTAGATGCTGTACGGATCTTTATTTGTTGTGTGGGAAGAACATTGTATCTGACATAATAACTAACAAGTTTCTTTGCATCTCTTTGCTCAGCTTTAGGAGAGTGTAAATTACCAGGATCAGCATGGACAGCACTAATGAGCTGTAGGATGACGCGTTTGCCAAAGAGCTCGTGCATTCGATCAAGGAAGGCAGAACCAGCATCCTTGAAGTTCAGAACATTTTTCTTCCTCAGTACAACTGTCCCCTTGATCTTAATAGGACTGGTTTGTTTGCTAGAATCGCTTTCTCTTGGAACATCATGCTGCTTCCCGCAAACCATTTCCAGCATTTTCTCCAGTACCTCTGTACAACATGGTGGAAAGATCCCCATTGAACAAAATGGAGATACAGAACAAGTCCTAAAGATATGTTTTTGAGTTGAAATAAAGGAAATATATATATATATATATATATATATATATATATATATATATATATATATATATATATATATATATATATATATATATATATATGAACTTTTGTTGAAGCAAATGTATCCTCTGCAACAACAGTTGAGGCATCCACGTTGCGTATAATTATAGTTGCAGTAGACTTGTATATCGTTGGAATCCAAACTTGGATGAATTGAGGCATCCACGTTGGTGTTAAGAAATTCTAAATCTTAGCTGGACAAGTTTGACTTAATCCTTCAATATTCCAGAAAAAAATAAGAACGTGAAATGAACAACGTTGTTCATTCCACAGAGCTATGAATGTGATCAAGATCCGGTTAAAAAGCCTTTCACTGTCTCCAGATATGTTTAGTATTAGTATAGCACCAACATCTAATACGCTATACTATTTTTTAATTGCATGAACTTGTAACAGTGATATATATATACACTTTACATACTATTAGTTTTAAATATTAAAAGAAAAAAAGAATGAAAAGTTGCTGCAAGAGTGCTAAAGTTAATATGAAGAGCTGATAGTTGTAGAGTACTATTACTTTATGAAAATGGACGTTTGTTTTGTACATACTTTAGTGCTGTTTTTCTTGAAAATATTTTTTATGAACCAACTACCAGAAATGAGGAAATGACTTCCTCATGAAAAATGATTTTAGGCATACTTTCTTTAGAAAACGACCTTCTCATTTTCGGAAAGTTTATTTGTGTGACTAATTTGGGTTAAAAAGATGGGTTTCATCATTTATATAGTATATTGTTATTGTCTGTACAACTTGGATTAATTTAGGCAGCCACGAAGGATATAATAAAGACTAGTGATTTGTTGACCTGATCCTTCATTGCTGGCAATTTTAGTTAAGAACAATATAAAACTTTTTCACATTGATTTGACTGGCGAGTAAATATTAGTTTCATAGTTGATTTTTCTTGTCCAATAAAAACGTGACAACAGATCTATGAATGTGAAAAAGGATGAAACATATCCCAAAGCTTTAAATTATTGTACCCCATTATTAGCTTACAGATCAAGATCCGCTTAATAAGCTGATGATCATAAGCTTTCACTATCTCCAGATAGACTTCGTAATACTAAATAGTACAGCAGCCACTTCCATATGTCCTAATTAATCGCACGACTCTGTAGCTATATATTTCACAGACCACAATACACATTAAATTATACAAGTTGCAACTACTTAAAAAAATAGTAGGGAAAGACAAGTTGCTGAAAAAGTGTTAAAATTAATGAAGAAATGAAAGTTTGTAGACAAGTTATAAGTTGCAGCCTCTAACTACTAAGATTGCTTGAACTTGACTAAACAGGCTCTACTTAACAGCTCCCAAAATTTTTATTTGAAAAGGCAAGTGTGTTTGGTTGTTACTTTCCTTGAAAACATCTTTTTCGTAACAAACTATCAGAAAAATGAGGACATGACTTTGTATACAGTCGAGATCGAATGCCTTCGATCTATATATTTGAGAGACCGTCCGATGTCCGAGTCCGGGTAATGCCAGGTTCGAGCTCAAGGAACCAGACCCGAGTTCGAAGGCGAAGCATGGTGCATACCGAGGTCAGGCATGTTCTGCCCCGAAATAGTACCGTTATGGATTTGTACTAGAACGAGCTCGATTCCTACCACGTCCCCAAAAACTCATGGTGCAAATTACGGAGTAGGATCGTACAATTCCGAACTAGATGGTTAGACAGCTGTACTAGGAATATTCCCTACTGTAAATGGAAATATTCCTCCCCCATTATATAAAGGGGGCCCCAATCATTTGTAAGACCATCTTTTACTGAGCAAAGAATATACTCTCTACCTTTTTTGCCTGTTATTCATCAGAATTGTCCCTTAGCTTAATTATTCTTACTTTGATTTTATTATTTCATTGTTCTTACTGCCCTAAGCCACCTCGAGGTCACAGTCTCGAGGTCACTGCTGCTAACTAATATTGGTTTGATTCACTTCTATCTTTCATTTCTACTTCATATTTCTTGATTATTAATCAGTATTGAACTAAATCACATATTTTTAAAACTACAAATCAAATTTAATTGTTACTAGTATTTTTCGAGGTAAACAGACTTCCTCGTAATCTTAGTTCCGTTTTTATTGGAAAATGACTTTCTCATGAGAAAATATTGAAAAATTAGCTCATTAATTTGGATTAATTAACCGGACTTGTGCCCGATCGATTTTTCTTTTCGCTTTGCCATTATGAATACTCTTAGAATTTTCAGTTAGGTAGGAAATTTTCATATTTTATAATAAAATTAATGATAAATGATAACTTCATTAAGTGTAGATCTCAACTAAAGTGTAAAATATTTCAAGAATACAGTCTTCACATGAATGACTTGTTTTTTTAGGATCCTAAGATTATGTAATTATAGCTTAATGAAATTTATAGATATCTTTGAACGGTGGAGTAAGGCTGGTTGATTTTGATTTGTGGAAGGTTTAGATTTTAAAATTTTAATTTAGAACTCAATTCTTTAAGTTCATTTGTTTATTCTCCTTTTACAGTCATTCATCGCTCAAAAGAGTTTTGGTTCATTTAAATCTTGAGATCTTAAAAGGTTATTAAGATATTATTTAAAAATTCATGTGAATGGATCTTTAGCCATATTCTGTCATTGCATAATAACAATTATCAACTATCTTCATCGCCATAGATGATCCGACAATTACCACCGCATAATTATCACCACCAACCACCTTCACCATCAGCTGCCATCGTACAACCATCACCATCAACTACTTTCGCCAACCATCACTGATCTCCACTATCAACTACCTTTACCACCTGTTTTGACCACCATGCAACTATCATCAGTAACCAGTTTTATCATCAGCTACCATCATGCAACCACAATCACAACCACCATCATTAGCTACCTCCGCTAATCACTAGCAGTGGCAGATCCACATGAACACTTGTGGGTGCTCAAGCACCTATTACTTTTGACCAGATTTAATAAATTTGCATAGGTAATTTGTTACGATCCAAACCGATGAGCCACAACGGGCATCCGGTACCTTACTCAATCGAGTACCAACATAACGTATCTTTTCGTATCATACTATCATAGATAACTAAACCAGAGAGGCTGCCGTGAAATAGGTAGAATACAACATGTAATACCAACTTATACATAAGACATATGGGCCTCTAAGACCAAAATAACCATGCGTACACTGAACATAGGCCGACAAGACCATACAATCTTTTACGTACATGACATCTGTTTACAAGCCTCTAAGAATACATAATTTTCATAAAGGTCGGGACAGAGCCCCGCCATACCAAACAATACACGTCACTACTAGAAAAATGCAAATTTCCCAGGGAAATTTCCCATTGATATATTATCAGTGGCAGTTCCCACTGAAATGTAAAAAAATCCAGTGGGAAATGGAAAATATTTCTTTTACCTTTTTTTTAAAAACGTTCCCACAGACTATAGGTGGGAATCAGTTGGCGCAAAAAAGCGCGCAATTTTTTTCCCACTGAATCAGTGGGAATGTCATTAAAAATAAAATTATTAAACTATACCCAGTGAAACGGTGGGAATTCCGGATAAAAAATTATTTTAATATTCCCATTGATGCAGTGGGAAGCTCAAAATTTCGAACTTTGGCAAAAACCCGCGAGCTTAAAAAAAATTTCACCAAATATACCCGGGGAATCGGTGGGAATGTCTTTTTTTTTCGTTTTCACACATTAATTTAGGCGTATATCCTAATTTTTCTTCTCTTTTAATTTTCACTCCCATCCTTCTTTTTCTCTCTCGTTCTCTTGGCAGAAACCTCCATTCTTGCGCTAGAGCTTTCACTCATGCAAAATCAAAGGTAAGTGGCGCCTCTCTCTCTCTCGCTATCCCCCCTTTCTTTCTCCCTTTTCTGATTTTACCCTAAATGCCTAAAAACCTAGGGTTCCTCCATGCCTGAAAATCTAGCTTTTGTGTGTATGTTTGTGTGTGTAGTTGGGTTATTGGGTCCTGAGTTCATAGACCTATTTGAATTTTTCTTCTCCTTTCACGTTAATTTTAGAGGATTATTATTAGATTTTGAACTCGATTTAGATTTACGAAGCCTGAAAGAATTTTTCTTCGATATTGGATGTTAAGTGAAGGTGTATATAGCTGGAAGGTGCAATCTGTATGAAAGTTACAGTATCGATAAGAGCTATGCTGGTGTACTCAAGCTGGGACTGAAGTTAATTTCTTTATAACCCATTATATAGTTCAGGATGTCAAATTAATTCTGATGAAGAATCAAAATACTTGCAGGCCTAATTTCCTTAAAAATAAAGCACCAAAACTTTTTGTTCTCAACATTTAGCCAAACTTGTTTTCTGGTTGGTATTGTTGTTGAAACAAAAGAGCAGCTCAAAAAGATTAGCTACTGCAATCTCCTCACAATCCGTTCATGAATTACTACAATATGTTGTAAAGTTACCTTCAATTGTGTTTGAAAAATGCTATTAGTATGATACTCTAGTGGCTGCAATTGACAGTCATGGAGGCAATATAAATAGAGCCAAAACTTTAAATTAAATCTCATTCTTGCATATATATATTGAATACATACAATATTACTGGAAATTATCACATTCTCTACTTTTTGGTCTTCAGATTTAGGTGCAACACATTTACGTTTCAAGCTTCTTGCTTTTGTACCACTTGGCCAAAGACCATTTTACTCCTTTTGAAAATTATAATTATCAGCACTTTTTTTAAGTATAATTATCATCTCTTTTACTCCTTTTGAAAATTGGACCAGGAATTGAAGATACAAAAGTGTGAAAGAAGACAAAATCAAGTTATAAGTCTTGAGGTAACTTATATCTATCCTCCAAGTTTAAATTTATTTATGGATGATAACCAATGTGTTAGAATCTTGGTTTGACTTTTCTTGACTTATAAAAAGACGAATAAAAGTTAGTTCTCTAAGGTATATTATTCATAATT